CCCCGCTACCCTCCCCGCCCCTGCTCTCCACGCCTCCCACTCGGCGGCCCCCTCCTCCCGCCAGCGTCCCCAGGATGAGGCTCCCCGCTGCCCTGCACACAGACCACCCCGTGAACTGACGACGGTCAACGGCCCGGAGGCCACCTCGGCCTGCAGAGCCGCGGCCCTGGGCTCCCTGCCAGGGGCCGTACCTGAAGTCCTCGGAGCCGATCACCTCGGTGTAGTACATCACTTTACACTTGTGGGAGGAGACCTGCAGGGAGGCCAGCACGTCGTCCACGCGGGGCAGGTTGGTGGCGGCGCACGCGGGCATGCTGTGGAATTTCCACTGCAGGATGTAGAAGCCCGGCCACCGGGTCACGTGGGAGCCCTGGAACGAACGAGTCAGGCAAGCTGCTGGGGTTTCCCTTCCAGGCCCCCGCCCGCAGGGGGTCTGCCAGAGCCCAGGGAGGGCCCCGTCCACCCGGATTCGGCGGGGTCACTGACCGCCAGGGTGGGAAGGACCTGCTTCTCTGGGTTCAGTACCAGGGCTGCTGCCAGCCAGGCCTCTGCTAAGGGCTGGGAAGGCCCCGAGGGTGACACTGAGTTTGCCCCCAGGACCTGCCACAGCCTCAGGGGGAGGAAGGCCAGGACATAAGCATTCAAGAGGGCCCTTCGCTCGGCCTTGGGGGGGTCAAAGAAGGTCGTGTGGACCAGGCAAATGCTCTTGGACACGCTTCCATGATCTAATGCAGGGGTCCTCAAACTTTTTAAACAGGGGGCCAGTTCACTGTCCCTCAGACTGTTGGAGGGCCGGACTATAGTTTAAAAAAAACACAAAACTATGAACAAATTCCTATGCACACTGCACATATCTTATTTTGAAGTAAAAAAACAAAACGGGAACAAATACAATATTCTGTATTTGCATGTGGCCCGCGGGCCGTAGTTTGAGGACCCCTGCTCTAATGTGTTCCGTGTTAACAAAGTCCATCCCAAACCAAGAGTCAATCTGTGAAAATTACCTCCTCCATTCATTCTGGAAATGACTGGGATGCAGCCTAAAATGCCCCTGATTTTTAAACTGAAGCAGCTACTTCCTGTACTCTGTTTCTAAGACACCAGGACCCTGACAGGCTCATCCCTAAAGCAAATGGCAGCAAACCTCGCATCTGCTCTGAGAGCCCGAAGCACTGAGAACACCTTCTGAGCAGGCGCTCAGAGCAGCCGCCGCGTCTCACCGAGGAAATGACGGGGCACCTACATATATAAAAGGCTAAGTGACCGACCGTCCATCCGTCCATCCGTCCATCCATCCGACCATCTAACTGTCGACTGGCACATACGATGTGCACCAGCAATTTAAAAATAAATGTTGCCGAAACCAGTTTGGCTCAGTGGATAGAGCATCAGCCTGTGGACTGAGAGGTCCCAGGTTCGATTCCGGTCAAGAGCATGTACCCGCGTTGGATGTTGACTTGCGCACGCCGATACATAGAAAGCTCTCGCCGGCGCCGATAGCACGCGCGTGTTTTGATCTGCCATTGTCGATCACGAATTTGGTTGTTTTTGTTGACATTCTGAAGCCGAAAGAAGCCGGCAGTGTCGAAGGAATATATCTGAAGACCAACTATTGGCACAACTATGGGTCACTTAGCCTTTTATGTGTACAGATACATTTTACCAATTTTCTTTCATCGCTGACACTTCTATCATAGAGAAAGGGCAAACAGCAATATTAAAATATTTCTTCTAATTAATTTCCTTTCAATGTGCATGAATCCGTGCACCGGGACACTCGTTTTAAATAAACTAGAAAGCCCAGTAAGACACTTAACAGCCCCCAAAGCACTCATTTCTCTCCCTTCCTTCAGGGTGACAGAAGCACATGGAACGCAGCCAGGGCGCGGCGGTGGAGTCCCTGACCAGCTGTGCGCACAGTGCCTTCCCTCCTCCCGGGTCACCTCTGTGAATACACTTCCAAAGCCACTCACGGCCTTTAGAGGTAAGGCCTGGACTCTGTGCAAAACCAGGCCCGAGTCCTCTGCTCTAAGGCATCCTGATCGGACTAGGCCGGACACACCTGTGCCCACAGACAGCACCGGCCGTGCGGGGCGGGAGCGAGGCGACAGCCTCCTCCTCAGGACACACCACCGAGCTGGGAGTTGCCGACGTTTTACCTGCACACTCTCCCCTTCTCTGCAGATCAGCGGCGACTCCACCATGCTGTAGTCCCGGCCCAGCTGCCAGGCCCGGTCGATCAGCTGCACGTTGTTCCCCCCGGGACACGTGATGCTGTGCGCCCCCAGGGAGTCCTTCTTGGGCGGCTGTGGGGACCGCTTGGAGTGGTAGATGTTGAACACAATGTCCCCTTTGCACACGTCAAAATCCCACGTGATCACCGAAGAGGCATCCACGATCTGAACGAGGATCTGGAGGAGGGAACAGGCGTCACCCCGAGGCAGCGAGGCCCGTGCCCACTGCGGGGCTCCCGGGCGCTCGGCCAGCTGTGCGCTGGGAGGAGATGCAATCAGCCATCGGTTCCCCCTCCGCCTTCCCCCTCAGCCCCTGGTGCTGCTCCGTGGCTGGGGCCCTGAGCTGGGCACTTGGTTAGCCACCCTACAGCCAGGACTTCCCAGTACACGGTCTTCAGACAGCGCTCGGGGATACTGGGTCCCGGCTGAGACCTCTCAGCAGTACAGAGTGGATGTAAGTCACGGCCGGGCCCAGGGCCCATGACTGCTCTGGCTGGGAGCTCAGGGAAGGCCCAGGGCAGGTGGAAGCCGAACAGAGAGCACATGGAGGAGGGGGCAGCTCTGCCAGGCGGCCCTCTGCTCACAGTGGGACAGCGGCAGCCGCTGGGCGGGAGGAGGGAGCCACATGGCATGGGGTGGGACGAGCCCAGGGTTGAGGCCGATCTAAAATCTGCATTTTAGGTGGCGCCACAGAGAGCTTCCCAGCAGGGAACGATCAGAGTTACATTTCCAGCCCTAGCCGGTTTGGGTCGGTGGATAGAGTGTTGGCCTGCGGACTGAAGGGTCCCAGGTTCAATTCCGGTCAAGGGCACATGCCCAGGCTGCGGACACATCCCCAGTGAGGGGCGTGCAGGAGGCAGCCGATCAATGATTCTCTCTCATCATTGATGTTACTATCTCTCTCTCCCTCTCTCTTACTCTCTGAAATCAACAAAAATATATTTAAAACAAAAACTTAAAAAAGAAAGTTAGTTTCAGGAGGTTACCGTGGGAGGGACGTGAGAACCAGAAGCAGCTGCAGCTGCGGGAAGGTGTGTTCACTGGAAGCCCCAGCAGAAGCCAGGCCCGAGCCCCTCCCCCGCGGCCCCTCCCCGCGGCCCCCCCACAAAGCGCCCTCTGCGTGGCGTCTTAGCACTTTGCTGTCTTCAATTGCACCACTGCCCCTTCTCGCTGCCAAAACACCGCTTTGGAAGTTCCTTAGGGAGCAGATCCGTAAAGCACGAGGGTCATGTCTAAGAGCAGCGGTGGCCCTAACGACCTGACCCCGCCCCCCCCAGGGGCTCCCAGGGCGAGCTCTCAGCTGACGGCCCCTCTCCGGCCTTCACAGTGGGCACTTCATCAGCCTCCTTTCAGGCCCAGCGCTGCCCTTGGTGTGTGCCTGGCTGCACATCCAAAGCGGAAGGGAAACTGAGCCAGCAGCCTCGGCCGGGCTCAGGGAGGGAGACGGGTGGTGAGGGCCGCACACCCACGCGTCGCAGGACAGTGCGCATGAGAGACAGGCCGCTTCTGCACCACAACGCGGCGCAAGAGGGGAAATTTCTCCTCACTCCACTAGGCTAACAAAAATGGGGAAATTCCTTTTAAAATATAAATAACCAAACTCAGCCCGTTAAACACAGGAAATGAACCTGTAATCCTAAACAGACTAACCCCGGAGTCCACCTCCGTGCGGCCAGCGGGCGGGAGGGGACTCACCGCGCGGCTCCCTCGGTGCTGCTGCCCCTGCTCCG